AGAATTGTTCTTTCGATTGATTACCCTTCTGGTAAACGTTTACATAACTATAGAAAATCACCATTTTGAATAGGTAAATCAACGAACTAAATGCATTAAATGGGGTATGTTCAATAACTATGCTAAATTACCAGGAGGCAAGTTGATTAACTGGTTGGTGGTTTCAACTCCTCCTTTGGGATGATGAAATTCCCAACTGAATGGAAAGTCATCAAATTCCATGGTTCCAAACCACCAACCAGTTAAGTGTTCCAAGTGTTCCCCAAAGATATACGATTTTTATCCAACATGGGTCCAGCTAAGATAAGCTGGTTGAAATGACTACGTAAGCTAACTTACTGGATTTGAACAGGCGGAGATATCTACCGTGTCTACAGTCATGCATGAGTAAACATAAGTACACCTACTGCTGGACTGCTGGACCACTCTAATTCCAATCCAATATCAACTGGTTGGTGGTATACCTACCCCTCTGAAAAATAGTCAATTGGGATGATTATTCCCAATATATACGGAGTCATAAAAAATGTTCCAAACCACCAACCAGTAATCCAATATTACTCACCATCATTGAAGATAGTTCATCTATGTTCTGGCATGAACTTCATCCAAATATATGGCCAAACCATGTAGCCGGTATAGCCTATACCTATCAAATCCTATCTGGTTGGTGGTTGACCTATCATCTATAGAATCTATGTGAACCCTGGATTAATAAATATGAACAAACCCTGATTGATTACCCTCTGGTAAACATACAAAAAGCTATTGAAAATGGCCCAGTCGAAATAGTGGATTTACCCATCAAAAATGGTGATTTTTCCATGGTTATGTAAATGTTTACCGGAGGGTTGTGGTGGTTGTGGTGCTTGTGGTACCCCAAAAAGTGATGAAATCGACCGTTGGGAAAATCACATTCCAACCTTCGAGAACCCGGCTATGAACAAGTTTGGCTTTAATTGTGTTCGTTCACTTCAACCAACCTCTCATTCCAGAATATTTCCAGTCTTGATGTTATAGCCTAACTGTTATAAGTTACTCACTTAGACCGACAAAGAAAACTCTATATTTCTTTGCTCACGAAATCTTACAATCCCGGCTAATTATAGGAAGACCTTTCAGTGAAAATAAGGTTGGGCAACAACAACAACTAACATACCATCTTTATAACAATTTTCTTTGTATATATATATATGGGGGTTGTCCAAAATACCTTTTCCCGGACAGCCCTCAATCGCTCAGCCAATCGCGTAGCAACCGCGGTACCACAGTGAGCAATCGCGGAAGGGTTTGTTCTTCGTTGATCAGATCATATACATAAAATATAAGTTATGTACTATATAATGAAGATCCATGCGTGAACGCATTCGATTTCAAATTTGGGAACAAAATAAGCTCGCGCGGTCCGGAAACGGTCCGGAAAACTCACAGTAGTACCAACAGCAGTAGTACTAGTAGTACTAGTAGTACTAGTAGTACTAG